AGTACCAATCTCAACATGATTTGAACTTAAAGTCTTTAATCTACAAGACTGCAGAAGAAATTCATTAAAAATTTGCAGGTTTATGTATAATAAACCACATTTTCTAGTTATTCTGTTTTGCTATTTCCAACCATCAGCTGTTTTCTTATTCTACCTTAAAAGACAGATAATAAAAATGCTCAATAAGCTCATCGCTTTATTACATAAAAACTTATTTTACAAGTAACATCCTCAGAATAAGATGCAAGGTGTGAAATTAGGAGTGAAAACAGGTTAGATATTGAAAAGATGCTAAATTACCTAAAGCTTAAAAGCCACATGATTTATATGTTTATTTCCACTACCTAAAAAAACAAAACAATTGAAACCAAACAAAAAACAAAAAAATAATTTTATGTCCGTTGGACAAGTGAAATGAAAGTGTCAATCCAAGCAGAACTGATGCAGAATCCTGCCGCAGACACTGAGATGACTGTGCATCCTGAGGATAAGGCTATGATTCCAGCTCCGTGGGGTCCAGACAGCTCTGGTTTCACATTTCATCCCCAATGATTAACCACGCATCAATAACAACAATTCAGACCTAAAAACACAAGGAAAAAACAGTATATACTCACATTTATCCTTCAGCTTGCAAGACGATGGTTCTCTGGGAGGACAGCTGTGATTGGCTGAGCCGCGGCGGTGCCTCGCTGTGATTGGTTCAGCTAGGCGTCAGTATGACGAATTTTAAAGCCCCTGCGCAAGTTCGGTAGAGATGACACAGGTTTCTCAAATAAAACAAAATCTTTCAACAACTGTTTTATTTTTTGTTAATGTCAATCATTAGCAGTTTAACGAAAATAAATCACTCAAAAAGGGAATATATCATAGAAATTAAACCAGGTTAAAAATGCTCTACAATGTTTGTATTACTAGGATTATTTATAGGATGAATTGATGAACTTCAAGAAAAAAGCTGAATATAATTAAACATCAGAATAATATCAAAGCTAGGTTTCTTATTAGAGTAAAAAATGACTTGAAATAAAATTATTTAAAAAAAAAATAAATAAAAAGGTTAATTTATCTTTTATTTACTCATTTTATTAAGTACATAATAGTATAGTATAGTATAGTAACCAAAAGGAAAATTTGATTATAGAACACAAACAATTTAGACATGAACACGATCGGACCTAAACTTATAATTGTTGACGATACATTTTTTTAAACATCTATTATTTTTTACCCAACTGCTGTGTAAATATATATCTTATTTTTACATATAAAAGTTAGATAAAAAACACTAGTTAATTTTTTATTCCAGAATAAATCACAATTATTTTATTATGTAAATATCTGCAAAGTAAGCAAGCAGAACTGGAGAGCTCCTTCAGTGACAGACTGCTGCACCCTAAATACACCAGCGTTATCACAGATCCTTCTTCCCAGCAGCTGTAAGACTCTATAACCACCACTATTACCAACAACCTCAATAAGTTATTACATTCATGCTGATTTTTGCAGTTTCTGTTTTAATAAGTTAAATAACATGCTGCTGTCATTTTGCACATCTCTGATGTTGCTGCTATTTTCAAATATCCATTACTGTAAAACTGTCCAAAGCTGTATATTGGTTATTTATTCTCTAGGTGCACAGTTTACGTTGTTAAAACACTTTACAGTACAGTGTTTTATTGTTTATCTTTTCACTCTTCAATATTATGTTATTCTCATACATTTTTCTTCAATCGTTTTGCTGCTGTAAACACCAGAATTTCCCCATTGTGGGACAATAAAAAGATTTTCTATTCTACCGGTATTCTAAACAAAAACAGATAAAATAATAAAAAAAAGGCTGAAAATATAAACACTAAAAGCTTGTTATTTATTATTTTTGTAAGCAATAATTTTAAATATAGAAAACTTGTTTCCAAAAGCAGCTAAGAAACAAAAAAAGAATCATTAAAATGTCATATAGTGCATCATTAAAACAGTTAATTGAGATGCCTTTACTCAGCAGGTTAATCAAAAATATCTGACATTTAAATATTAAAATATGCACAAATATATCAGCCCATGTTACACATTACCCCATTCGGCAGCACATTTCTTCTCATCTGAGGATACAGCATTCTGTCTTTATTTCTTTAAATATACATTTTTACTTTCCTGTAACTGCCATTTTTTCATTGCCTGCCACTAGTTAATAAATGTCAACCCCCATAGGCCAATAAAAAACACAATATATAGGATATTTCCATTCTACTTTAAGCATACCACATACCAAACAAAAGTTTATTAAAGGCTTAAAAAGAAGTTTCACCAAAAATTGCCCTTGAGAGCTAAATGAATGATGCCAGCCAGCAAGATTAATTACAGGATATCTTTACATATTTCATGTTACATACATTTTTACAGGAAAAAAATATTTTGGGCTATCCTTTCCAGCTGATTTTAAAATGCAAACAAGAATTATAATAATTATCAGTGGTTATGTTTTAACTCCGTAGAAACAGAAAGAAATTAAAGAATAATTTAGGCGGGAAAATTAATTTAATAGTTATTGAAAAGAAGAATAAATCATAGGTTATATTTCTCCATTCATTTCCCATTTTTCATACTATTCTAAACATAAAAAATGCTCACATTTCACAAAAAGTTGAATTTGTACCAGACTGTATGAAAACTATGTAACCTGATTAAAACAGATAAAGCATGTTGTTTTTTTAAAGCTTGCATATAAAAGCAAAAAAAAATAATTGGTACTAAAATACTATATTCATATTAAAGTATCAAATAATTTCATCTGTAGACATGCTATGATTCAGAGCCTTGATTAATATTCATCCTTGAGCGTTTTATTTTTCTTACATTAAAACAACAAATGCTCTTAACAGCGTTTGGCAAAAATACTGAGAGTTCAACATTTTCAAATAGAAAGGTATTCCACAAAATGCTAGCTTAGACTGTTTTCATGACAAAAAGTTCCACAAAATTGATACAAATAGTGTGGAAAATAATTTTTAAATATATTTTTGGTTAATAAACTGAAGCCTGAGCTCTCTAATGTCACTTTCTACAAAAAAAGGAAACTTAAAACATATTAAAAACAGTTTGATAAGAAATAAAAACTAAAAGGTCAAGTGTAGCATAATTCAGTCACTTTTACCACGGAACGCCTAAACAGAATTCAGAGAAAACTTCAAAATTCAACTAAAGAGTAAAATCAATCAGAGTGTGATTTCATCTCAGCGAATATTCAGTTCTTTAGTTTTGGACCATAAAGGTTTGTCAAAGAACATTTGTAAAAAAATTAATTTTTTGTTCTAAGGCAATTTAGGGCTGCAGCTCTCAAACCTGGTCCTCAGGGGCCACCGTCCTTGATTGAAATATTTCCCAGCTGTCACGCCGCCATCGCCACAAACCTCCCCTTTAACAAAATATCCCCATGGTTGAAACACAGTGTTGGTAGTATCATGCTGTGTGGATGCTTTTCTTTAGCAGGAGCAGGGAGACTGGAGTTTTTATGTACTCATGCACTAATGTCCATGTTTCACTTTCTATATCAGGAGGATTTTTGTGATTGTAAAACTACAAATGTGAAAAGTAAAAAAAATAGGTACCGGTAAATGCTTTTACCCCTCAAATAAATTTTTAAATAATGAAAATCTCAAGATGGTTTTACCAGTTTTCTGATTGTATCACACAGAAAAACAAGAACATATGAAATCATGACAAAGCATTTCATTTTCAATCCATAATTTATTACTTAAATATGCTCGTATGCATATGGTAACAGTAGGAGGAAAAGGAGGGCTCAACAAACAATGTAAACATTATAAAAGAGATGCTTGACAAAATAAAGAGACAGAGGGGATAAAGAGATGAAAATATCAACCATATTGAACTTGCAGGCTTCAAAAGTGCTTTTAAAAACAAATCAAAGAAAAGGGAAGAGCAGCTAGGAGAGATTCCACTGTACATATAAGTGCATAGGAGTGCGAGCACTGAAATGTGCAGTCATTATAAATGTTAGTGCTCAAAAAAAAAAAAAAAAAAAAGAATCATCCGACAACTGCAGCATCTACATATTTAGTGTTTTTGTTTTTAGCTTTCATTGGATCTTAAGAGCACATCGATCGCTTTCTGCAGAAGAAATTAGAGATGGAGGTTTGACTTTTCAGGAGGGCGGAGTGGATCAGTTTGCATAGGTCTATGGTGTCAACAGCATCTGGTGTCTGGAGCTGAGACTAAAAACGCAACCCAGACTTCTTAAAGGTCTCTCGTAAAGCTTTCTCTGCGACACAGTGCTGCTAGAGCTGCGGGAAGCCCCTCCTTTAAGACCCACCATTTATATAAAACAGACATGATTCACACTTTCAAACATTTTCCCTTTTCTATCCGACATTTTCACCCTTACTGTGTCAGTCTAAGTGTTTTTAACAATAGCTCTTTGAACATGTGAAAGTGCTCAGCACAGCTAAGAGATATTTTGGCATTCGTTTTAAAGGTGCAAATTAGCTGTCGTAAAAACATTCTGCTTCACGTTTAAAGGTTTGGAGAACACAAAACAAGGAGAAGCATAATAAATGTTTCTTGATTGGGCTTCACAATCCTGTTTGCTAGCACTTGGGTTTTATATTTCTGAAGGATTTCAGTTTTTATTTTTTTGTCAGGTCATTTGGAGAAGCCCGTTTTTGTCAGGAAGAAGTCTCTAGTATATAAATGAGCAGTTTTTTTTCTCATCATGAATGCATTCATTCTAGGTGCAGGAAAGAGTTTTTTTATGGCTCAAATTTGTCAAATAATATTTTGGTGAGCATGCGAGCACCAGTTTATTTATCTGTTCTCAACACGATTACATACTGTACTGACAATACCAGTTTATGATAGGAGTAAAAATGGTGATAAGCAGCTTTATATATTTTTTAAATCTATTCACAGGAACACTTGTGACATTTTACAGATATTTAGTGTTAAATAAAATAAACATCTAATATCTGAGTTCATATAAAAGTAGCGGATGTGTTCAAATAATCCCTGATATTTAATGCAACATGATAGAAGGATGTGGATGGATGACCTGCAGGATTTACCTGCACTAAAGGTCTTGTGTGTCCTGTCCTGTTGCAGCCTGTCTGTGTTTCTGAAGTTCACAATGGTGGCGTGTTTACAAGCCTTAAATAGTGAGTAAAATGAGTGATTAGGGTGAATAACGGTGAATGTGTCTCTTGACAGCATTTCTGATCAGTGCATTCTAAAAACTCTTGCAGAGCATGTTCACAGTCGTTACAGATGATCGAATTAACGGAGATCAGTTTTCTTCAACAAAGACAGTGTCAGTCTGTTTCATTTGGCCATTTCAAGGTCACATATCCGAGATGCTGAGAAACAAATTTAACATTTTCACGATTCAATAAATGCTGGGACAGTCTGAGTACTTCCTGTCAAAGTATCCGCCTGTGTACAGCCAGTCCTCGGCTCCTGTGAAAGGGTTTGTTCCCGATTGGAACCACCTGAAGAGAAAAAAAGAGTTGCTTTTATTGATGAGGTTAGACGGTGTTTGAAAGCTCTGGAAAGGTGGGGAAATGTTTGGATTGGAAAAGTTACAGCTAATAAAGAATCTTATACCACACTGCAAAAAAGGGTGTCTAAAATAAAAAAAAGCTCAATTCCAGGAAAAATAATTCAAACCAAGTGAAATTATCTGTCCATGCAGCAAAATAATTTCAATTTCACAAGATTTCTTGAATTTAATCTAGAAATAAGCATGATAAACGCTTAATATTAGAAATTGTCTTAAAACAAGATAAAAGACGTTTTTTTTTTTTATCTTTGTAAGAACCAGATAGTATGCAGAGCAGAGATTTTGAGAAGCTGCAACCATTGAATTCAAAATATTTTAGAGAATATTAACCCAGGACAGACAAAAACAAACGGATGCAGAAAAGCTGGAAATATATTTCATAAGCGACTAACTTAGAAAGCAAACCTGTTCACTGGATTGTCAGTAAAAAGGACTTGATATTTTTCCTTTGTACATGATTCAAAAATAAATTATAATTTTACTTTTACCTGTTGGTCAACTATAAAAAACTTTCATAGGTATTTGCAGTTTGACAAAAAAAAGCCAAATAAAGATCTTTTAAAATAAAAAAAAGATCTTATTTAATCCATTTGTCATATTATAGCAAGTGTTTTTTTTTTTTTTTTTTACGTCGGCATGGTAACTTTGCTTTGTAAAAATGGCGGGTTAGTGCTGACCTGGTCGACCACTCCTCTTCATCCTTTGATCGTTCTCTGCGTGCAGCTCGCTGTTTTTCCTCTAATCGCTCCTTTTCTGCACTAGCTAATTCTGAAAACGTAGAAAACAGGGGAAAATAGGGATTACTAAAGGTTTATATCAAAATGGTTTTTTGTTCATGTTAGCGTTAGCCACCTTTTACCTATGTCTCCATTTTCCATGGCTCTAATATCGGGCCTCAGCCGGCAGTCCGTTGGTGCCAGCAGCCTCTCCATGCCGGGCTCCAGCTCATTTAGCGTCACAGCAAAGCTGGTGAAGTTATACATCTACCAAGAGAACAAATGAAAAACACAGAACCTGTGAAATAATTACACTCTCTGACTCAGTGATTCTCAGTCAATCCAAATAAAATGTCCCAAAGAAAAAGAACCCTGTGAATGAAACCCAAAAGGACACATGCTGACCTTTTCAGCACTGCTAAATAAAACAGATCTTCTCGCATCAAGTTCTGGGAACTTCTAGAAAATCTTCCCACTTTCAAGATATCAGTACTAATCTCAGATTCAACATTAAGTCCTTTTACATTCTTTAAAAACATATATAAATCTCCATGAAGCAAACCTGTTGTGGTTTGTCATGTGATGAACTAGCAGAGAAGACAGTATTGATAGCGTCGGTGAAAAAAGCTGCTATTATCTAAAGTATTGATAGAGTGCAGGACTTTAAAATGATAAACAGACGACACAGTGAGAGCACATTTTTAATCTAAAGTTCAGAGGTGATGAACCTGCTCTGCTGGCAGGTGCTGAAGTTCAGAGCCCACATCGAGCCGCTTCCACATTTCATCAATTATCAGTTAAAGGTCAATGCTTTAAAATCAATATCATGTCTAATGTGTCACTAAAAACAACATTTCTTAGCTAACGTAAACCTGGTTTCTTAAATGTTGAAAATGAATCCATAAAACTTTAGAAAAGTGTGAGATGTATTTTTTTACATTTTTAAGTTACATCTTTAAACCATACCTCAACTTTATACACCTGCATTCCCCTTTGAAATGAACAATACAGGTCCTTTTCAAAATTAGCATATTGTGAAAAAGTTCATTATTTTCCATAACGTAATGATAAAACTTGAACATTCATATATTTTAAATTTATTGCACACTAACAGAAATATTTCAGGCCTTTTATTGTCTTAATACGGATGATTTTGGCATACAGCTCATAAAAACCCAAAATTCCTATCTCACAAAATTAGCATATTTCATCGGACCAATAAAAGAAAAGTGTTCTTAATACATAAAAATTCAACCTTTAGCTCATCCAGAGTGTTGGGTCTTGCAACTATCAACTTTCTCTTCACAATATCCCACAGATCGTCTATGGGGTTCAGGTCAGGTGAGTCAGGTTCAGACTCACTCTTCTTCGTTTTCTATGCTGGAGATCAGTTTTGTTTTCTGATGTTGTAAACATAATGAGAGTAAGTGTTCAATAGTTTAAATAAAAGATTTGGGACCCATTAAAATATACTCATTAGTTCCTAGTTTACAGGCAATGCTCACCTTAAAGGAATAGTACACCCAAAACATGATTAGCCTTCATTTTCTACTCACCCCCATGCTGAACAACACTCTGGAGTACTTTTTTGATATCTCAAATGCATCTGGAGATCTGGGAGGCTTCTTGCTGTCTGCTGACATTCAAATAATGGAGGTCTATGGTGACCGAGACAGAAAGGTCCATAAAAGTCCACAAAAAACGTGTCAATATTCCTCCATACTGCTCGTCCAATGTATTCCAAGTGTCCTGAGTGGGTAGCATCCAGAATTTACTCGAAACAAAGTCATTTAGAATGTTTTTAGAGCATAAACAGTAGTGTATAGGATTTCCTGAAAGCGCGCACATACGCGATCACGAGGCTACGGAAGCCGGCAGACCAAACCAGATGAAAGTGCGCATTCAGCGTCTGCTCTTCCAATAATGCAAGCGTAGAAGAAGAAATGTGCCGTTTACCTGTGCAAAGAAAGAAACAACGAAAGAAAAATGTCTGTGTTGAGGAAGAGCATGAGTTCTTTGCCGAGCTGAATGCGCTGGTTTGGTCTGCCGGCTTCCGTAGCGTCGGGATCGCGCAGGTGCGCGCTTTCAGGAAATCCTATACACTACTGTTTATGCTCTAAAAATATTCTAAATGACTTCGTTTCGAGTAAATTCTGGATGCTACCCACTCAGGAAACTTGGAATACATTGGACGAGCAGTATGGAGGAATATTGAAACGTTTTTTGTGGACTTTTATGGACCTTTCTGCCTCAGGCGCCATAGACCTCCATTATTTGAATGTCAGCAGACAGCAAGAAGCCTCCCAGATCTCCAGATGCATTTGAGATATCAAAAAAGTACTCCAGAGTGTTGTTCAGCATGGGGGTGAGTAGAAAATGAAGGCTAATCATGTTTTGGGTGTACTATTCCTTTAAATTCATTATTTATTGATAAATAATAGTCTTTAGAGGACTGAATAATATCTGTTTATAAACAAACTATTCCTATGCAGCATTTCCTGCATTTGTAAAATAAAAACACCAGCACCAGCTTATGTCTTAATTAATTTTGAATGAATCTTAATTTTAAGATTAATAGAAGAAAGAATTGGAATATAAATGTTTCTATATATAATTAAAAGAAAACAAAAAACAAAATACTGGCTGTTATTCATTCAGGACAGCAGTAGAATCCAGTTGTTAACCAGAGTGAAATGCTATTTTGAGTCACAGACCTGCGCTGAGTTAGCGGGCCGCGGCGTTATCCTCCACAGTAAGGCACTTCCTGGTATCACGGTCACAGTCTCCTGAATCTCTGGCAATTTGTCGTCCTCCTCACCTTCACAGCTGCGTTCCTAAACACAAAGAACGACAAAAAATCTTCTTCAAAGTGACGAGCTCAAGCAAACTGAACAGACTTTACAGTGCAACCAGGTGAATCATGGGAACTACGGTCGCCACAAAATCAACACCTCAAGCAACAACGGCATGTAATTTCCAGACATCATTGTTTAAAGTGCTGGCAATGATCTAATCAAACAAATACTAAAAACATACAGTAGCGAGACACTAAAGATACCAAACACACTCTTACCTTACCTTAAACTAATGCCACTGCATGATATTGTGAAAGGAAAAGACAGCATTTAACAAAAACAGATTCAGTCACAAATCAAACAGATTACTGACAATCATATGAGAAGCAGCAGCTTTACACTGGATGTAGACGATAAACAATGCAATGGACTCCTCATAAAACTGTGGTAGGTTTTAGAAAATAGCCTATATTTTTTCTTACAAGGCTGTAAGGGCTAATTATCTTGGTTGCAGCATCAGATATGAAGGCTATGACCTCTTCAGGCCGCCAACCCCTCCTTTATCAACTAGCCCACCACCTTTAACCCTATAATGCCAAATGTATCGTATTTGATACATACAGTTTCTGAAATGTTTTGCATCTGATACCTTTTGCATAATTTAATGCTAAAAACTTTGCTCAAAATCCTATTGTACACAATCAGATATACCTGATAACAGCCAGTAGAAAAAAAAATAATCTTGACTTATCGCATAGTAATAAATTATTAATATCAAAAATGTATTTTTTTTCTTTTTATATATTTTTTTAAAAGGGCAAATAAGGAATTCCAACCAAAAAAAAGTAATTTTCTATTTTGTTTTTTTCGTTTTTTTTGTTAACTGAGCACTGCTAATTAGCAGGATCTGACTTAATAGATCCTTCAAAACAAACAGAGATTCTGGTTTCTACCCAATAAATGAAGTCCCAAAATGTTTTTTTTATTTTATTTAAATGTTATATTTTTTTCAAATTACACAGAAGTACTTGGAGATAAGAGCGGATGAATGGTGTTCAACCAGAAGCAGCTAGGTTGGGCTACTATAGAGCAAGGAGAAAAAAAACCCGGCAAATAAACATCAGTGATTGTTTTAAGGGTTTTTTAAGCAGCTAAAAAAACTCTGAGGTTTGTCAGATTATCTCCAGCACATCGGACAGATGGTATCTGCAAGTGTTATTATACACAGTTGCAAAAGGGCTGCAACTAATGATCATTTTGCTAATTGATAAATCTGTCGACCATTTATTTTCGATTAATAACCAGAGAGCAAAAGGTTCCTTAAAGATTGTTTTTAAACCAGGTGAAACTACTAAAACTTTTCCACTTTAGAAGTTCTAGAGTGACAGATGAAAACTTTGTAGCCTAAATGCAATTTTTTTTTTTTTTTTTACAATATTTGTGATGTGATGTGTGTTGGTTGCTCTGTCAGCTGTTTTAGTCTCTATAATTCATTTAACAATTGATTACTAAAAATAGCTGATGATTATTTTAATAATTTGACTAATCATAATTAATTCTCCATAATGCTGTAGCCAAATTAGGCTGTGTTGATAATTTGACTTTGATAATTGAATCAAACCCCAACATTTTCAAAACTTTTAACTGTAACTTTAACTATGGTTCAATGTACACATTAGGCTATTGGTAAGTAAAATGACTGTTACTAAATGTAAACAAACCTGCTTTCTTTAACCTCTTTACTTTGGTTGCATTTGATATTATGAATAATCAGGCTTTTAAATCCTAAAAGCAAGACTAAAAATAGCTTTATCATGATTGTGTTTGTCATGCTGGCAGTGGCCTTTTACTCAAGCAAAATCAGAGGATTGTTACTGCCTCCTGACTCTGGATGTGCCAGGGTGGAGCTATGAGTAGGAGTATTTAGTGCAACTAGCTGCTGATGGAGCCCAGAGGAGTGACACAGAACACAGAAGAAAGTCTTTTTTTTTAGCTTGGACAGAGAATATTTTCCAAACACATAGCAATCAGATCACATTGACTAAGTGAAATGACTCATGAGAAGGTAGCGGTGTCTTTAGCTAGTATGAAGGGACTATTAGTGGGATCTCTTCACTGCAAATGATCATGCACCGAGCAAAGCAAGCGGCCTGCATGGTTTCTTACCTGCTTCAGCTTCTTTGAGTCGCTCCCTGCTTTCTTTTCCGATTTCTTGTATGTTTCATAAAGTTTAGGGTCAATGCTGTACATGCACTCTGTCCACTTGCCATAGATGACTTGTCTCTTCTTCTTACTGGAACGACCGCAAAAAGCCGTGTTCAGAAAACATGCAAATCATCAAAATTTACACCCGACGGACCTCATGTGCTCCTTCTGTTACCTTTTATCTTGGATATATCCTTCCACTTTATGAAGATCCTTTCCGAACATCCCGCATGCTTTGAAGTTCAAAACGCACTTCTCTCCAGTGCTGAGGGATTACAGGTAGTTTAAATCAGAAATACATACTCACAGGTCCAACATAGCTTTTTTTAAGGATCAGTGACTTTACCTGTGGTTGACTATCTCCACCGTTCCATATTGCTCAATCCAGAGTTTTCCCAAAATGATGTTATGCACACAGCACATTGGATTTGTCCACGTGTATGCTTCTTTATGTCTGTCAAAACAACAGCATCAGAGACAGATTTACACATCCAAGAAAGATTCAAAATCTAACATTTGAACTGATTATGCAGCTGCGTCCTGAAGCTCTAAAACTAGGTTCCGACATATTTGCTAAAGCAAGGTGAATAGAGGAGCTGATAACCAGTTGCAGTCTTTTGTCAAACTAATTGCTAGGGGTGTAACTAATAATTATTTTGTATCGATGTATCCATCCAACAGCCGACGATCTGATGCATCGACACGTCCACAAGAGTATCAATTATGTTTTTTTTTTTTTTTTCCCTCCGGTCTATTTTTATCCATTTGCTCCTGGGCGTAATTCTCCCTCCCGTGCTGCGGTGGCGCTAAACCTTTTTGCCCTCCTACCTTGCTTCCTGCTACCTTGAAGCATGGTCTGCGTTAATCGCCGTGGGTCTAGATACGGCCGAGGCGGAGAGGAACTGGGGGCGAGTTTAGTCCGATGACGGAGGGACATGACAGTGAAAAATAGCGGGGATCCAGGTGGAAAAAGGGTCCCAGCGTTCTCGCGCACCTCGATCTTCTAGCTGGTCAAACTTCACGAGTTTTTTTCCGCAATTTCGGTCATAAAAACAAAAAAAGTCGGCCTCCTGTCTGCGGCACTGTTTGCGGTCAGCTACAATTTGAGAGAGGAGCAGCGGAGCGTCTGCGGAGGGGCGGGGACGTCAACACTCTGGAGCCGAGATATTGCATTGCACTCATTGCACTAATTATGTGCAGTATTTTTGATGCAAGGCCTTTCAGAATCTATAACGCAGGGGTATTATTATTTTTCCATGAATGAGGTTTTAATAGGAATAGGTGGAATACAACTTTTCTACTTCTGTTATTTGCTGTTGTTTCTCAAATAAAACGCGTAACGATATTACAGCTTTCATTGATTTATTTCAAATTTGAAACATTGTCTAGCCTGTAAGAAAAAAAAAAAAGAATCAATAAATCGAATCGTATCATGGTGTATTCTTGAGTATCGAAAATAATCGAATTGTTGGGTCAGGAAATCGATACTGAATCGAATCGCCATGATGGGTGTGATTTACACCACTACTAATTACCTGCTGTTTTTGGAATCAATCCAAGTGGACTGATGCTCCAATAAAATCTCATAAGGAAAACACAGGAGGAAAGAAAAATCATAAGTGTGAGTAAATAATTACTTTGATAACTCCAGCGTCATGGTGCCTTTAGGCTCAGCTTCAATGCTTTTACCCCAGAACTTCAGTTTCGGGTAGATGGAGCCATGAAACTCGAACTCTTGCTTCAGAGACTGAGCGTGGAAGGCACTGATCGGGGGGTGGTGGCTCACCTGCTCAGAGATCAATCTGTATCCTTCATCCTCTCTGCAGAATTAAAAGAAAACAACATTAGCAAACATTGCAATGGGATAATATAGGTAAAAATTGCAATGACTGTATCAGCAGTTAGTCATCTACTCTCTGTAACCTTTAGCATTTTAGGCAGTGGGATTATTGAGAATCGGTTCAACCATCTAAACATGACAAAGTATTTAAAATGTATGACAGGTGGAATATATTAAGAAGTTCTGCAGTATGAACCATCTTTGGCAATATTAAAAAAACTAATGTTTAAAAGATGAAATATTCACTATGCGGGAATATTGAGCATTTAAATGTGGATATAAAGAACATTACCACAGCTAAATATCAACCATTTCTTCTTAATTACCTTATGAGTTCATATGTTTCCCCCAACAAAGGATTAAATGGCTTTCCAGTCCTCTCCCATTGAGATGCTACAGCAGAAACAGCAAAGGCAGCAACAACCTGCCACAGATACAAGAACTGGATCAGCTAGGAATTATATCCCAATTATAATTCTGCACATTCACATCTGAATTGCATCAAAATAGCAGGTAAAGATGCTTTAAGAAAACAAAGACTCTGAAATCACCTCGTCAACGTGTAATACTCGAGCTTATGTCATTTAATCAAACAGGCTGCCATAGATTTTTGGGACAGGTTGAAAAATGCTTCGGCATCACAGATAAATTAGAGAATCTAGATGCATATCACACATATTAGGTTAAAGGCAAATTCTTTTGCAACATCTGAATACTTTACATGCATACCCATGCTATGCAGTTGCTCTGTCTGCACTAATGAAGATTAATTTACCTCATCATAACAGCTGCTTGGAGAGACAGCCACAACATGGAGGCTGGTAATATCTTTGAATTTAAAATAAAACCCTAATCTGTGTATGAAGAATTTAATGTCTTGGCCAAGATTGTCAGACAGTAGCCAAGCATAATTAAAACAGAGTGAATTTCTTTCCCCTAACTCAGTAACAAACCTTAAACCCTTCATCCCTTTAAAGAACGGAATCAGTGACTGCAGCTTTAGCTTCTTTCTCCTCTAATCTTATATATGAGGATCTACAATTTAAGCCTTTTTTATTCAAACATTTCAGAAAAGAGCTGTAATTATCCTACTGTAAAACTGATATTTTTTTTGCTTGACGTTATCATACTGTCAAAACTTCATACAGGCCCGTGCCTACACTAGCTATTCCTTTCTTATTAATCAGTACAATGAGGTTGTCTATGTTTACGTTCAAACATTCAGGTTTCCATTAGATTTCTGTTACTTTCTTTTTTAATATTCAAATGTTCCATTGTTTCTAGTCTGCTCTTTTCTTCCAGGGTTCCTACAGCATGAGGCAAGTTAAATTCAAGACTTTTTAAGACTTTTTAATGCCACTTGAAATAAAAATTTAAGACCAAATTCACAAGAAAAACCCGCTTGCGACAACTTAACCCAAAGGTTTATTTTAACATAAACCACTGCACTAATGTTTCAAATTTTGAAAAGCTTCCCATACAGGAAGAAGGCTAAAAACACACAAATGACAGATATATTTTAACAATTATTTAACTGAATTCACAAACTTTGTTTTAGCAGGGAACAAAACAAATCCGTTTTAAAGCCACAACATAAGCAGTGCTAAGTCTTTTTTGCAGCTATTTTTCTTTGTAACGTTTTCTTAGTATGTTTGATTTGGTGATAAGTGGAGGCGTTGCAGAGACAAGGGTGGAACCAAACTGAGAAATACCGGCTGTTTCTCGATAACTCGATTTTGACGCTTTGTGTTTCGTGCTTCGCATGTGCGACTCCACTGCCTTAATTCCCATCGTTCTGAGCTTGAATGACTTCTTGCATAAAATACACTGTGCCTCATGTTTGTTCCCTGGTTGTAGCCATGGAGAAAACTCTTGGCTGGATAGACAATTTTGGTTACATTTACACTTGCTCATATTTTCCAGACAAAAAGTTAATGGTGCATCTCCCAAATGTCCCGGCCGCAACGACGCTTTTATAGGTTCCGCTATCAGGACGGAACCAATAATGGCGAGCCATTATTTAAAAAAGAAATTAAAAAAAAATTGTCCATTTTAATGTTTTATTTAGATAACAAAAATAAATCGTAATAAATATAATTCTATTTATGATGTTTTAAAAATTAAGACCTACGAAAGACTGATTTAAGTCATTTTAATACCAATTAAGGCCTTAGTTTTATTTTGAAGAATTCAATGCCTTTTAAGACTTTTTAAGGACCTGCGGGAATCATGTCTTCAGAATATTGAATATTCGTATTGAAAATAAAATATGAACCATTCATTCAGCTCAGTAATTAGTGCATTTATACAGAAGTATTTCACTTCCAAAAGCAACAGCAGAAATCCTCCCTACCTGCATGCGGTCTATGGAGTCCGACAGGCTGCAAGCTTTGTGAATGAGATGAGTGTGCTCCATGTACTCCGAGATTCTCTGGAGAAAGCTCAGCGGCTCGTTAAATACGACAGGCATCACTATTTTGGACAGCTCCTATAACGTCAGGATTAGAGTCAAATATCAACTAAAACTGTAATTATCAAAAAATAAAAAAATATTTTCAAGCTTCATATTTATTATTCTTAATAGACACTCTTTACAAAAGCATCAGTAACTAGATAAAACTATGACATGATCTTTATATTTGCTCTTCTCTGACACCCTTTGAATAAACTCACCATTCCAATGCATTTCTTCAATATGCTCCAAACGCTGAAATTGTTCCTGGAGATCGTTTCTGCAGGAAGGGCTTTCCTGTCGCACATGTGGATCAAAGGGAATTTTAAAAAGCAGAAGAATTAATAAAGGATAGAAAAATCTCACAGATTACAGTAATGGTAGCTCCATGTTTGTAAAAATGTAACTTATTTAATTCAATTCAGCTAAATATTAACTAAAACAAAGGTTAACCCAAAGTAGAACCTGTCTAAAACAAACACATTTTTCAGTTATCACTTCTCTAACAGTTAATACAAAAAAAGGAAGCGTGAATATAAAAATGCTAATAAAGATAACAGCTGTTTTGTGTATTTAAGCAATTTGTCACTACAGTTTACCACGCCATTTTACATCCATCTCATTGTATGCAAACTTTTTTCTTCTTCTTCTTCTTTAACACTACCACTCATTGTTTCCAGAACACTGCATACTCCACGCCTCCATACTAAATTATGTGAACGTTACTTTTATTCTTGCCAATTCATTTTTATTTGTTTTATTTTAGGTCCCTCTCTGTTATTATACAAAAAAGTCAGAACTAAATGTCATGGGTGGGTTCCCTATATTGTAAGCTAAATGATTTCTCATTGTGCAGCCAAATCAAACAGTGGTGACCTCTACAATTTTCTTTGAAAATCTAAATCCATTAGGGTCTTACACGTATGCTTTATCCAAATAAGATACTGAAAAAACACTGAAGCTAAAACTGGGTGAGAAGATTGAGCATAAGTGAGATAAAAAAATCCCCTCATCCAAGCATTTCTTGAAGTTGTATTTTGGTGCAATGAAAAAACAGAAAAGTAAGCAGGGGTCTGCAACCTGTGGCTCCAGAACCACAAGTGGACCTTTGGACTTCCTACGATGGCTCTTAATTGTTGTTAAAAATAGTAAAGAAAACAAACAAGTATTGGTTTTCAGGACACTAAAATAACAAATGCAAGTTTTGGAGGCTTAAACCATTTTTTCCCAAGTATTATGAAATGGAACTTTCCACAACAGAACGAAAAAAATAATATCCTATGTTTAAGATCCTATTTTCATTGTTAGCCTGGGACCTATGGGCTTACGTTTAACATAATTTTCCACAGATTAACGTCCAGAAAATGTTTTACTTTCTTCTAACAATAGAAATGAAATATTGGCTGTTAGAGCTGGAAACACATTTCCTATAACACAATTAAACTAAATTTAGTTGTCTTTTATGAAAAGGTCTAATGAACTGTTATTTAGCTTAATTCAGGCCAAAATACAGTAGCTCTTTGGATTTTGAAGGTTGCAGACTCCTGCTATAGAGTAATAAATACTTTAACAATCGTTAAAATTAGTCTATATAGTTTATTTCAATAGTGTCACTGAAAATAACAGCTATAAATCTGACTTTTCAGAAATATTGGGCTAGATTAGATCCCTTTATTTAATCAGGTAAGGGAAACTCATTGGTATTAAAAACCTCTTTTCCAAAAGTGACCTGGCCAAGAAACCAAAAAATAAATACATTTAAAAACAAATACATAGATATTTATCACACACAGCAATCTTATCAGTTCCAGTTAAATGAGTGGGCCTGTAGGGGGACAACACTCCTCTTTAGGGGGAGTGTTGGCCTAGAGGTTAGCGCAGTGCGCTTGTGCTCCAAGAAGGTTACAAGTACAAGATCTGCTCGAGTGATCAGATCTGCCCGGGTCCTGCACATGTCAGTGATGTTACGCTACATGATTGGTGGAACTTTGCCATATGATGTAAAACATTGTGGTTGCCCAGACGATGATTATAACATCACACAGCATCAGTGTGCAGAGTCCGGATCATCTGTAGCATTAGCGTGTCTAATGACCGATGAAGTTTTACCTGATCGATGACAATACTGAAAAAATCTATTTATGGTGAACAAAGTAACTGCAAGGCCATGGTATAAAGGGGGAGAGCTGGGTAGCGCTGTAGCTAGCTGTGGTCAGTAGCTAACAGGTTAGACTCTTTTAGTTTGGTCAGTTAGCCATATCAAACTACACTACTTTTAAATTCATATTAACAACAATCGTTCGTTTTCTACACGTAACCAAATAACTGTTGTTTTCTTCGTCTAAAATCTCTATGAAAGTCCTTTTTTACGATGTCCCATTTGTCCTCCTCTGCCCTCAGATTTCCATAAAAAGAATAAAAAAGCTGAGACTTTTTTGTCTGTCTTAGAAGGCAGTTCTTCCCTTCAAGACTGACAATTATTGTTTTATAGTTTCGGCTACTTTAGATCGCCAATGAAATGTAAAATAATAGCAAATATATGTAATAATATATTAAAATTCCAAAAGAGATTTGATCCTTAAGAAACGGGTGCAATATAGTTAGTCCGAGAGGAGTTGAGTTCATAAGAAGGGGCAGGACGCCGAGCAGATCTGGTACCTTCATCTGGGTCTCTGAGCAAGGCCCTTAACCCCATACTGCTCCCCGGGCAACGCACAATGGCAGCCCACTGCTCCCAAAGGGGATGGGATAAATGCAGAGGTGAAATTCTCCAATGTGAGATCAATTATTATTATTATATCATTATTATTAATAGTATTATCACCAAATTACTCTATAGGCTTAAAACATGCAAATAACATTTGTTATGGAAACTGATTAGATTTTAAAATCATTTAAAAAATAGTTTTCTGAATAACTAAATGGAAGGAAATACAAGGCAAAAGGAAACATACTGAAATGTGTGCATACAATTTATTAAAAAAATGAACATGTTTAGCCCGACAACGAATCATTTCAATGTAATAATAAAATACAAAATATGACATATATATATATATTATTTTTTTTTCTTACCTGCGCTCCCACAGTCCATTTTCTCGTGCGCTCCTGCCATCAGTCCCCTGCTTGCTGTCAAACAGCAGCGCATCTTTGAAACTGACCTCACAGGAATCATCAGACTCCAATCCTGGGACAGATTTAATCCTTTCAATGAAACGGTAAAGCAAACCATGGATGCAAAGACTCGATCTGATCATCTCACCTGTCTCAGCGTCGAAAAATTCCTCCTCGCTGTTCATACTGAGCAGAAAAAAAAGTGAACAAACTGTTACTCAGCAGTCATGTTTCCAGCGTCGGTCGGTTTCTGCAGCTCTGCTTCTCTCTGAAGCATATCAGGCAGCCACAAGCACGACCTGTGACACAGACAGCCTTTAAGAACCACATAGTGAAGTCAAACAGAGCTGTGACAGAAACATGTTTCTAGTTCGCTGTCACGCGCACAGCTCCGCAGCTAGCGGCTAACTAGCTATTAGCATCGCAGATGGAAACGGTTTAACCGCGAGGCGAAGCCGCTATTAGCTGATGAAAGAAGTACACTCACAGGCTGACACATAATTACACTCCGACAGTAAAAGTTACACACTGACACGTCACACATACCTTACAATTAGTGTCAGTTTGGCCTCGGCTAACATAAACAAACGGAAAGTGTAGCACCTCTGGAGCCTGGCGGAAGTGGGCGGGAAGGACACCGTGACTGACAAGGTCTCCAGCCAATTGGTGGCAGCCAGGAGAGGCCTAGAAATGGAAGGCAAAGAGCAGCTATTTTCAACTCTCATCTAATAATGTGACATAAAAAGGAAAAACATTCCCCTGCCAGGCTGAGTGAACAAAAAGAATTAGATCTCTATTATTTATTATAGTCTGCAATAGGAAATATTGAGATAGTTACAAAAATACAATAATATGATAAAAATAGAAATAAAATCAACTGTGTTGATTAAATACAATTTCGCCAGTAATCCATTCATTTTCCATCACGTTTATAACAAACGGGGTCGTGAGGGTTGCTGATGCCTATCTCCAGCTGTCTACGGGCGAGCGGCGGGGTACACCCTGGACAGGTCACCAGTCCATCGTAGAGCAACACAGAGAGAAACAACCATTTACGCACCCACTCCCACCTAAGGAGAATTTAGAGAAGCTAATTAACCTAACATTCATGTTTTTGGACTGTGGGAGGAAGCTGGAGAACCCGGAGAGAACCCATGCGAGCTGCACATGCTGGTTCCGGGTTCGATTCCCCAGACTGGGAATTGAACTTCTTGCTAAAAAGCAGCAGTGCTACCCACTGCTCCACTGAGCAGCTTTCACCAGTACATGGAATAATTTATAGTTTTAGATTTGTTTAAATAATTTCCATTGTCATACATGTCATAAAAACGTCCAACCCTTTGTACATAAGCCACGTTTAATAATATTTGAAAAACCTGCTTGATCACCATTTTAGTGCAAATGAATCTATCTGTGAAATGATTTTCATGTGTTAACTGATACAGATATCTTTCATAAAGGCCAACTGTGTCATGGTGCTCTTTTCCCAGTGCAGGGAGTGTGAGATGAAGGACCTTGCATAAAACAGATTATGTTTCCCATTCCATACCTGAAGCTGTTGCACAACCAGAGAGCTCCTTTAGTGTCAGACTACTGAATCATAAATGCACCAATGATACTGGATAAGCTGATCAAGAAGGCCAGCTCTGTTATTGAATGTGCTCTGGACTCTTTGCAGGAGGTGGGAAACAATAGGATCCTGACTAAATTAACATCTCTGTTGGATAATGTCTCCCATCCCATGCATGAAGATGTTGCTGAACTGGAGAGCTCCTTCAATGCCTATTCTAGAATAAATCACATTTCTTTTATTATTTCAATATCTGGAAAAGTTAGCCAGGGTCTGAATTTAATTAACATATCATATCATGTCTCCCAACTCATGCATGAAGCTATTGCAGAACTGGAGAGCTCCTTCAGTGATAGAATGCTGCACCCTAAATGCACCAGGGAGCGTTATCACAGATCTTTCCTCCCAGCAGCTGGAAGGTTCTATAACCACCACTGTTCCAAACAACCTCAATAAGTTGTTACATTCATGCTGATTTTGCACAGTTTCTATCTTACTCAGTTAAATAACACGCTGCTGTAATTTTGCATATCTCTGATGTTGCTGCTATTTTCAAATATCCATTACTGTAAAAAATGTCCATAGCTGTATATTGGTTATTTATTTTCCAGGTAATTATATTGTTAAAACACTTTGCAGTGTGGTATTTTATTTGTTTATATTTTCAACTCTTCACTATTATTTTATTGTTATACACTCTTCTAAGGTTTTCTATAATCTTTTTGCTGTTGTAAATGTTGGGATCTGGAGGTCTGTCCACTTTCTCCACCAGAGGGCATACGAGATCTCCTGGAGCCGGGGCTGATTGCACCACCTGTTCCTCATCTGCTCATCAGGAGATCCGTACTTAAGGAGGCGGAGGGCTTCACTCCAGTGCCAGAGTGTTTGCCAGTAACGATTGAACCTGCCTGAAACCTGAAACTCTGGACAGTTTCTCTGCTGGTAATCTGCCTGTTCGTTCTCAGAAATTTTCTAGAGAACAGTTTCTGTCAAAGATCTGCCTGCCCGCTCTCAGAAGATAACCGGAAACTCAATCAGTGATCTGCCTGCACTCAGTAAGCTCTGCCTCCGCCTCTGCCTGCCGTCAGCCTCTGGACCCTCAAGGTTCGCCCCCTCTGCAGCTCTGCTCCACTCAAGAACAGGTACAGCCCTGACACACTCTCAACCTGCAATATTCCCTGGACCTCCGCTAAACTTCTCTGTCCTCCCCTGCAGTGAACCCACTTGTGACCAGTCAAACCACTTCCTGGATCTGAATAACCTGTGTGCTTTACAGAACGCTCTCATGACCAGTCAAGCCTCTAACTTAACCTGATCCATTGTTGCACATTTATTTTTCAATAAACCTTTTGAACTCTTTCTTCTGCCTCCGAGTGTTCTGAATGTGGGTTAGGCAAATTAAGCCAAACATGACAGTAAACACCAGAATTTCCTCATTGTGGGACAGTAAAGGGATTTTCTATTCTATTCTATATATTCTGAACAATATATTCTCCCTAGGCTGTTAGATTTTATAACTATGACTGCCTCCAGCAAGCTTAAAAAGTGATTAAATCTCTGTTATCTCAGTTATTTAGACATTTTTTTAATTTCTTGTAGAAAAAAACAATTTATTTACTTTTTCATGCACAAATGTGCATGCACACTTTGTATATTACATACCTTACTCAGTTGCATATTGCAACAGGATTTTATCTATTGTCTATTTTGTAAATATGCCCAAATGTACAGTATATATTCTTACTTTATGTTTTTTAATATATATATATATATATATATATATATATATATATATATATATATATATGTATGTATATATACATATTCTCTTCATGCTTCTGTTTGAATTTTAAGTTAATGACCTCCTTACTTCCCCCACCTTGGCCTAATAAAGGATGTTTAGATTCTATTCAAATTACATTTTAGAGGAGTGACAACATCATTAAGGGAAAAATAAGGGGTCTGGAAATCAATGTTTAAACGTGATGCACAGACTGAAAATTAGAGTGATTAAAAATAACTGTATCTAACAATCTTTTGACTGTACTTGAAATTACCCAGAAGTCTAGATTGTCAAAATGTCCGGGGCCCTTATCGGATATTTATAAGAGGTGTTGGATTTATGAGTCAAATTGAGTAATTCATTTTTACTGCAAATAATTTGGGAAATCGTGGCTAAAGTTTTGGGAAAAACCAAAAAAATCCTCGTGCACTTTGTTCCTTATGTGTTTTATTTTGTTCAGTAACCGGAAGTCCTCTCGTCCAATGGGATTTATTATTTCTGTCTTTGCGCACAGTGGTGAAGTTCCAGTCCTGATGGAGCAGAGCTCTAAGTTAGAAGCCCTCCATCAATGAGCTGCGAGGCTGTAAACAAATATTTGCTCGTTTCACTGAAAAAGAAAATCCTATCCTTGTTAAAAGAGGTCAGGGCAGAGAAACAAGAGAATGAATAAAGACACTGATAAAAGCGTAAAGAAACAGTCCAGGACGCAGCAGCAGGCTTTGATCCAGAAGAAGAAGAAGGATCTGATCGGTAAAGATGAATCAAGCTGCTCTTTTCCACAGTCTGGTCAGATGGAGAGCAAGGGAGACATGAAAGCAGCCGGGCTACAGAAAAAGCAAGCTGGGAAAGCAGGAGTCCCCATGGAGAGCCCCGGGAGCCCCGGCGCGCACAGGAAACTGTCGGACGCCAGCAATGCCTCAGAAGACCTGAGCAAAGACTCTGGCTGCCCGTCAGGAAAGCTCTCCTCCACGGACAGCAGCTCAGAGATCTCCGACTCCTCTTCAGAGAGCAATAAGCGCGATTCTCCCAGCAGCGATAACGACTTAAGCTGGATCGACGGCAGAGCTTATTTGAGCCCGGACAGCGAAGGAACGCGTCAGGGCGCAACGTGCGCCAAACCTGCAGCAGATACCTGCGCGCGCCAGCAAGATGCGGCTGCAGCAGCGGGGCTGCGTGGATCAGCGGGGGGCTTCATGGATCTAATGATGGGGGAGACAGCCGAGGACCTGGTCAGGGAGGTGGAAGACCTGAGGTCAGAGAACGAGTATTTGAAAGTAAGTCAGAGCTCAGTGAGCTATTTCCCCTTGTTAATTACAGTAGGTTTCAATGTGACCCCTACAAGCCTGGGACCCTGACAGCATGAGGTAGTTTAGTCTCTTCAAAATCCAGAATTCCACTTTAATTATGCCTGGTTGGGTTGAACAAGGGGTCTCCTTAAAATCTAATGTCTCTTAAGCTTTAATTTATTCTAAAAACACTGTTCAGTACAGGATTTTATTTGTTTATTTTATAACTTTGTCACTTATTCTGTTATTTTTAATACAGGTTTTAAGGTCCACATTTATTTTCTAGTCTATTCTATTCTTTTCTTCTATTCCACTCTATTCTATTCTATTCTATTCTATTCTATTCTATTCTATTCTATTCTATTCTATTCTATTCTATTCTATTCTGTACTGTTCTGTTCTGTTCTAATCTATTCTATTCTAGTCTATTCTATTCTGTTATTTTCTTCTATTCTGTTCTGTTTTATTCTATTCTATTCTATTCCTTGTTATTCTATCCTATTCACTCCCTTCTGAAAAGCCATTCATTAGAATGATAGTTAAAAGTTGACCCATTCTGCAAAAACAATTAATAATTGGGTACTAGTATTATGATAAACCACTAAATGCTCTTTACTGGTGTATATCCAAATTTAGGTAAATCCTCTGTAAGGGTGTGGTAACTGAGAAAAAAACTTCATGTGAGCCCTTGGTAAAATAAATTATGCATTAAAATATGAAACATAAATGTGGTACATTTAGATTGCAGTTTGAAATATGTACACAATTTACAAATGGTTCCTAATTTTCTGCAGGTGCAATTATGCATCCCTAATTTCTGTATTTTAATTATGCTCTTTAATTTATATTTTTTAATAAAACCCAATTTATGTTTTAAAGCATGATCTCTAAGAAACTGGTAAGGATAAGACCATTAACATATATATATTTTTGAAGAAATTTCAACTTAGTGTGGCATCTAAGGTTCTACTGTTTAGACCCCATAAAGAGGAGTACAAATGTATA